GTTTATATACATATCTCAGCTTCCACCGATTCAAATTAAATGAAATTTTAATATTTTATAGATTGAGATTGTATTAAAATTATATAAAATTTTGAACTAATTCTGATCGGTGCATCTTGAGATATACGATGTCAAACTTAGTGTTCGGAAACTTTTGGGTACCCTCTGTACAATAGAAAATAAGCTCTTCTTTTCGAATTGACTATTATGTCTTACACTTTAAGCTTGAACAGTGTGATATTGAATGGAAACTCAATCTAATGTAAAATGTTACCATTTTTTTCCACAATATCAGCCTCTCTATGTATTAGTATTATTTTATCTGGAGAGAGATTGTAAGCCATAATGAAACTGGGATATAATGAGGCAAAGTCCAATCCCGTTACAGGTCTTCTCGTCTCAATCTCTTTTCAGATAGAAAAATATATATGCTAGGATATTTTCCTTTTTCTATATTTTTGCATACTCTTGAGCTAAATACCATATCACGTTTAAAAACATAAGAGTTTAGAAGGTTTTGTTCCTTCATTCTATTTACACGATAGTGTGAGTCAAACAAAGATACATGAGCTATAGAAGCGACTTCTCTATAATTATTTATTTGACTTAGCTTTATCAAAATACCAAAAGCTTCTGGCAATATAATGTATTTATTACAATAATTAGCTATTTCTCGCATTTTTCTAGCAATTAAAAGAGAAGTGTCTTTTTTTGCTTTTGAATAAATTCTTCACATTTCATCATATTAAAATTTTTTTTTTACTTTTTGATATATTTTCTTATATTTTTTATTTTTTACAATTTGCTTTAAAAAAATAGATATCAAGAAATATCATAAATATTAATTAGAATCAATATTTTTAAATATAAAATTTCATATTATGACTTTTTTCTTTTTCCTAAATAACAATACTTTTTGATTAATTAGTTACTTTTTCGCAGATTTTTGACTTAAAGACTAAAATCTTATGCAGTATTTTTAAGTTATGTGATTTGAATTATATCTTATACTAGAGATTAACTATAATCTGAATCGATAAATATTTTAATATAGAATCATAAGTTAAAAGAATCTCTATTAGAATTTAATGATTTAATATACTTGTATAAAGTAGTTACTATAATCTTGAATTGATTGAACATCTTAGCTAAAAACTTAATAGAATCATTTTTAAGTTACTAATTTTTTATTTTCTTTATATATATAGTTAGATTTAATAATTTCTTCTTTAGAAAATATGTATTATTAGTTATTTTTTTGTTTTATTTGAAAAAGAATTTACTTTAAAAGAATATAATATTATATATAGTATTGACTATTTTCTTATTTTCTTTTTCATCCTTTAATAATATTAATAGTTATTTTGCATATATGAAATGTGTTTAGTAAAGAAAGATGATAATAAATGATCTATTTAAACAGACTTTAAAAGTAATTATAGGAGGTAGTTAGTGTTTATTTTTAGAATTTTAATTTACTTTTTTGTATTTTACTATATTTTTAATAAAATTGCTAATAGTATCACATTGTTAAACTTAAAAAATTTATATAATACAATACAATTTTATATATCAATTCTAATTTACTAATCTGATTTTAACAAATTTTAGCATGTTATAATTTTCGTATTAAGTAGAATTAGAATCCAATATTGGATTTTTAATAGCTAGTCTACTAAAAAATTTATATACTTAAATTTTATCAAGTAAGAAATATTTATATAAATTGCTAAATTGCGTAAATTTAATCTTAATAATTATACTTCAAATTTTATTAAATATTATTTAGATTTTAGAGTCTAAAATAAATATAAAATTATATTTCTAGCATTTATAATTAATGAGTTATAAGCATTTAAAAGTAAGCAATTCTGTTTGTATTTACTATATTTTAGAGGTTACTATATAAATTATTAATATTTTTGTTTTTGAATTTTATATAAAAAGTTATTCAAAAAGAAAGTAATCAAAAATTAGAAAAATTTAAATAAACAATTTAAATATTATTTTTTAAATAAGTCAAGTAATTATAAATTAATTTTTTATTATTTTTATTTATAAATGAATTTATTTTAAATATAAAATTTTTTTATTTATAGCTTATATAAAAAAAATATACAGTCAACCCTTGATATAACGAATTTTATGTCCTGAACTTCAACTTCGCTATAGAGCTATAGTGAATTTTTTAAAGAATTTGATTGGCTAGTTCGTTATAACGAGGGTAAATTTAATATAGTTGTCCAAAAAATTCGTTATATAAAAATTCGCTATAGAGAGGTATGACTGTATATTATTTTAAATTAATAAGAATAATATATTAATTATGAAATTAGCTGTAAAAAATAAAGTTAACAGTTTATTTTATTTAAATTTTATTTTTTTTAATAATTTTGAATTTTAAATGTTATATACAATTTTATTGTTAAATCTAGATTTTTAGTAATATATTTTAAAAAACTTTAATATAATTTTAATTTTAAATTAAGTTTTAAAAATTTATTATAAAATTTTTAAAATTTTTTAAATAATAAAAAGTTTTTTTATAATAAAATTTTAATATTATATGATTCATAATATAATTAAAAGTAATAAAATTATTATATAAAATTTTTTAAAATAAAATTATTATTAAAATTCTAAATTTTTAGCTTATAAGTAATTATTATAAAATAAAAATTGCTATAATATATAAAATTAATAAAATAAATTTTTGAGTCAAAAGAAAATAAATAAATAAACAAGTAAATTGCTTGCAAACTTCTATAATATTTAAAGAATAATTTTTTTTTAAATTTATCATTTTTAACATAAAAATTTATTTTTATTATATTATTAATATAATATGGAAGCTTATCAATAGAAAGGAGGGAAATCTAAAAAAAAAGTTTTTATGAGTTTTTAATAAAATAAGTTCAGATTTAACTTTAAAAATCATATTTATCATATGAAGTAAAATCAATTTTTTTTTAGATTTCCTTTTCTATTGACATTTCCATATTATTATTATTAATTATAACTATATTTTTTAAAAAAAATATTAAATATTTTCTTAAAATAAAAACTTTTTTTTATTTAATTAATAATTAATGTTTTCTATCTTATTTTTTTTTCTCTTAATAAATAAATATAAATTCTTTTTATTTATTTTTTTTTTTTAATATTATTCCCCTTTACGGATTATTTTAGTATTTTATTTATAACTTTTAAACATTTTTACATTAAAGATTTTTTAATGAAAAATCAATTTCATCAAAAAATCATAAAAAATCCTGTTGTTAAAGGATACAAAAAAAATTCTATTGTGTATCCAAATACAACAAAATATATGCACATAATATATAATATAATGTATATAGCGAATAAATTCTATTTTCTAACATAAAAAAGAGTGATAAAAATCACATAATTGTGACAATGCAAATGAAAAAAGTGCATATCAATAAAAAGAAAATAAATTTAAAAATAAATTTCTTAGAATTTCTGCTTGTTCAAATAAATAAAAACAAATTGATTAAGATAAGAACATTGAAGATTTAAAAAAAAAATCCTTTTATATTGATAACTAGATGAAAAAAGACTTACCCAATTCTTATCTACTTCCATGGCCCACTTAAATTTGTCACGTAGGCTTCTATTAAAGATTTTGTCGATCGGGACTTCATATTTATAACACCAAGCAGCCGAAATACGAGGATCAATATAATTAATCTTCGAAGTTCCTAATGCGGTAGTCTTGTTTTCTTCCTTTTCGACCTTGGTGAGATTGGTTGCCTTGATTTTTTCATTGATTTTTTCAATTTGACTTACAACTTTATCAACTGTTTGAGTTTTCTTCACATCGATTTTACCCGTCTTGCGTTCTTTAATAAATTGCTTCGTTTTATCTTCAGCATCCTTGAGCTGGGCATTTAGTTCACTTTCAGATAATGATTTTTTGCCCTCCTCTATGCGTTTCTCATTATCCTTCTCAAATTTTTTACGAATTCTTTCCTTATCCTTTTCCTCCAAGTGCTGCTCGTACTCTTCACACCACTCTTCGCCTAAATCCGATTCCGGCTCATCAAGTTCAGGTTTCTTTCTCTTCAGTTTAGGATCCAATGTCAACAAAGTTTTCTTAAGTCTCATCCTTTGATATTTAAGAGCGCGTATCTATTATAATAGAAGCAAATAACATAAAAGATTAATAACAACTTTACATAAAAAAAGAAATAACGTAAAATGTTAATAACAAAATTATATAAAAAAAAAAAACTTCTTTTACCTTATCTTCGATTCTATTCATTTGATTATCGAAAGTTTTACTGACAGTACGTTGATGATTACATAGGATAGCCACTTCTCGGTTTGCACGATTATACGCCAAGATCTTTTCGATGACGGATCCATCAACTGGAGTATTTTTGAGTTGTTCTTGAAAAGTATACGAAGCATTGTAAGTACGGAACACTTTAGCAGTTAAACCGTCCATATATGAAGAAAGGTGTTTGTTTAATTCTTGTGTCTAAATGAAATGAATGACAAAAAGCCATTAATACAAAAAAACTTGTGAGACGACATATAAATTAATATTACTTACTGTTACTCTATCAAACAATTGATCCTTCTCGGTTTCACTGTTCCTTCTAAAAATCCTAAGATTTTTATATACTTGAGGATCCACCGTTACAGTATTCTGGTATCGTATTGAATCTTTACCCAGAAAGTCAAAATGCACTGTATTTGGAGGCTCAAGTTTTATATGTTCAAAACGAAGTGAGCAACAGCCTACCGTGTCGGCTTCTTCGCCTTCTTTTTTCTCGTTTCCGGCTCTAAGTGCTAGACGGTCAATAAAATACATTGCAGTAGCACGTTGACGTGTTGCGGTTGTTTTACTCTTCATATCTCTATTATAATCTTGACGAATTTTCGCAACAATATCCTTTAAACAATTAATAAGAGTATTTAATATTAATGAAGCTATTTTTTTAAAAAAAAATGTGCACAAGAAAAAAAGGAAATATTAATCACCTTAAGCTCGCGAGCCTTTTCAAATTTCTTTAAATCACTCTGACCTTTTAGTGAACTGTTTGCAGCTAAGAAAACATATTTAATATTTTCGTTAACATTTTCTTTCCATGTTGCAAGCCAAGTTACTGTGTTATCGTGGATAACTTTATTCCAACTATGACCAGCTGGAGGTTTGGGAACTTTTACATCTTTGCCAATATTAATAGTTACTTGTTCTGGCTGAACTCGAAGCTAAATTTTTTAAAAAAAAATTCCGTGACACGATTAATATTAAAAAAATATCATTAAATAAAGCAAGGAAATAATTACCTTCAATGAACCTGTCTTTGGATGTTTACCACGACCACGGAATAACCCAGGAGGTTCAATTCGGAAATTTCCAACCTTTTGTTTACGACCATCAAGATAACAAAAGCCATATTTCTCTTCCAACTGAAGTTTCTCTTCTTTTAGCCTTTGCTTCTCCTCTTTTGACATGGCTTTTCGTTTTTCTTTCTCACGTTCAAGATGGTCGAAGATTGGCGTAAAGTCACATTTTTCGAAACCATCAATGGAAGGATTCTGTAAATCATAAGCACACACTCATTAATAATTAATTTTTAAAAACATTTAAAAATATACAAAAAAAAAATAATAACCTTGCTTGACTTTGCCAAAATTGTCTTAAAATCCCTGAAAAAATTTTCATTGAATGTTGGATTTTCAACGTGTTCGGTTTTTATGACAGCTGCATAAAAAGTTGCGACTTCCTCGGCTTCGGGTTCAAGGTAAACTTCTTTGCCTTTAAATAAAAATTGTAAAGGTTAAATCTGCAAAAAAACCGTGTCATTATAAAAGAATCAAATTCTTACCATTGTATTTCATTTTGATTTTATGTGGAACATAATCGGGAGGGAAATATACTCCGTTATGTTCCAAAGTTTTCCATTTGACGGTACCATCACCTTTAGCATTTTCAACTTCCCACCAGCGATATTCCTCATCATCATCATCATCATCCGATTCTTCGTTTACCGCCCTTTGTTTACCTTTCTTTTTCTGCGAAGTTTCCTCTTCTGGAGTTGCGGAATCTTCTTTCTTTCTCTTTCTTTGAGGACTAGCCTTTTTTACTGCATTTTTGACGGCAGATTTTACCGGAACTTTTTTCTCGTTTTTCTCGTCAAACTCGGAGTCAGAATCATTACGTTTTCGCTTAGCTTTAGTATCATTAGCCTAGTGATTAAGTATAATTGAATTGATATCATTATTTTTAAAAATAATAATATCATTTGATTGATTTGATAAATTTACCTTTTGGGTCTTACTTGCTTGCTTGACCTGTCCTTTGGTTGTAGTAGCTCTTGTAGTTCTTTTATTAGGGGTCGCTGATTGTTTTCCTTTATTCACTCTTTTTCCAAGAGGCACATCACTTTCGGAGTCAGAAGGTTCTACTTTAACTTTAACTGCTTGCTTTTTACCATTAACTTTCCCCAAATTTTTAACAATTGGAACACTTTCACTTTCTGATTCAGCTTCTTTTGTTTCAACTTTCTTTTCTGTTTTAATTGCCTTTTTTTGTGTGACTTTGGCATCCCCTTCAGAATCGGAATCCGGTCGCTTTCTCTTTGCTTTTTTACTATTCACCTATTTATAAAACACAAAAAGAAAGGAAACAGGAAATTGTATTTCTTTTTTTTTTAAGGAAAAAAAAATAAAAAATAAAGAAAAATTGTAGAAGTATTTTTAAGATAATTAAATAATATATACCGGTTCTTCTTTCTTAACGGGTAGTATTGTTTGTTTCAAAGAGGAGGTAGAAGCCTTTGGCTGTTTCCCCTTATCCGGCAAAGAATTGACCGAAGATTTATTGTCCTTAGCAGCTACTCTCTTGGCAATTGGAACGTCACTCTCGGACTCTTCCGATTCAATTATTATTTTTTTCTTTGGCCTGCGTCTTACAGGTTGATCTTCAAAGTCGTTCGAGTCTTCCTGTTTTATAGTTACATCTTTGGCCTGACCGTTGCTTTTCTCGGTAGGCTTAACACCTCTTGTGGCAGGGGCTTTTCTACCATTTGTTTGTTTCATCATTTAATTTTATGAAAGAAGTATATAAAGTAAAGATCTAAGAATTACGTGTAAGAAAATTGGAATATGTTTGTGGTTTCTCTTAATTGTGATTATAGTGAGTGGGGTAGTAAAAAAAAAATTTTTTTTTTTTTTTTTTTTTTTTAAGAACACGACAAGAATTCTTAAACGCTGTTTATATTGTTGTAACCCCTGGATGAGATTGATGAAGACTCAGTTTTTTTTTTTTTCTTCAATTTGACAGCAACTAAAATACCTAATTGATTCCCCCTTACTACACCATTTTGTTACACAGCTAGTGGCTTTGGTTATACATGATTGGATAGATTTGAGTTTCTGGAAAAGAATCAGGAAAAGGTTCATTTAATTGAAAAGAGAAAAACTTTTTATTTATGGTAATTTCATTACATTAAACTTCAGATCTCAATCTATAACTTGATGACGTAAGTATCAAAATTCATTCAAGTTATTAGGCGCAGAAAAAACGTAAATTTCCGGACCATAAATTGTTTCACACGAGACGAGATGAGCTTTTCTTTTGTTAGTAGGTACAATCTTTAACCTTCAAAAGTCCCATAATGGTTCTAGTGATTTTGGTGTAAGAAAGTGCATAATATCCGTGCTGCCGTGATTTAATCTTATTATATACTAGCAGTAGCAATCATTGTGATTTTGTAATGACGTGTGCGACCATTCTATAAACCTGTTTAAAACTAAACTTGGCATGGGCTGACAGTTGATGGGAAATATGATTCGCCCTTTAATTTAATTTTTTTTTTATTTTTGTCAGCTGATAATTCCATTTTGTATACACTTCACATGAGAATGATTATTCTTATTTATTTTATTCATTATTTCATTAGTTTAACAATTAAGAAAGGAAATTTATTATATAATGTATTGAAATTTAATAATATTTCTAATTTTAACTTTGTGCAACAATTAAATAATACTCTGCCAAGAAAAGTAGCAAATTAGCCTGGCTGCATGTCGCATATTCTTACCGGAATTATGAAATGTCGATAATTTGTAATTTATCACGTGATTTAAAGAAAATTTCGGTTGAGATTACAAATTCTATTCAGAGATTTCTCGGATGTTTTGATTTCTGATTATCTCTCCAGATAAATCACGTGATTGGTTAAGAAGTTTTGAACCACGTAATTCTTTTTCAAGGTTTTATCGCGCAAGTGTTATTTTATTTTTACGGTCAGAAAATCTTTCCGATCCGTTAAAAATTTTTATGAATTTCAAATGAAATGTCCTCTTTTTGTGTCATTATTAAAAATTAAGATTTTTGATATTCAAGTAAAAAAAAAAAATTCATTTGATTTTTTTCCTATAAAAAAAAAATAAAAAATTCCGAAGGTTCTGATCGATCAAAGTCATTCTTTGATAAGTTCCCGATTTATATGATTATTTTATGATCGGCGAAGGGAAATTAAGTTCGGGAGTCCTTACTATTAATGACAGTTTAAATCGGATTCAACTGTTTAGGCTTAGATCAAGATCACAAATAAAGGAACTTATTCAGCGTTTTTCATGATTAGCGAACACTTGACAAATGATACAAAGTAAATCTGGTTAACTTGTCTTCTCGAAATGATAGTATTTGACAAAAAAAAAAATCTCTCCTTGTAAATCAAAACGGAATTAATAAAATTCGTGACATTGCTCTTACCACGTAACTGGAATATAGAATAAATTTCTTTGTTTCGGACATTCTTCCAAAAACACCAGTAAAAATCTCTCTCTAATTTGCTTCATAACCGCAGCATATATATATATATACTTTAAACCGAAACTTTAATTGAATTTATGTTGTACAACAGCATCCAACAGCAACCTTAACCGTGAAATGTTTTAGTAAAAAATAACAATCTGAAATTTTTCTTTCCCAGAATAATAATAACACTTTTTTCTTTTTCAAAAAAAAAAAAAAAAAAAAAAAAAAAAATCCCACGATATATTATAACTTCAAAGTATATACGCTATTGCGAATCAAAAGTTTTATCATCGAATATAACGTCTTATTATTCTAGAATTGCCTTTGTATTGTCAATATGCCTGACGATGTTTCTTTCAAAAGGCAACGCGTTTCTAAAGCTTGCGATTCTTGCCGTCGCAAGAAAGTGAAGGTAATTCGGCAACTTAATCTATAAACTCATGAACCATTACAGGCACTTTATCTATTCATATTCTTTAATTCTTTTACCAATCTATTCTTAACCAAATTATCAAATATTCTGCTTGTATATTTAATTGTACATTTTAGTGTGATGGTATTCAACCAGCTTGTGGTAATTGTACAGCTTTTAGTTTGGAATGTACATATAATGACACAACAAAGAAGAGGTTGGTGGTTTTGAAATTAAAATTTTAATTAGAATCATCTAGTATAAATATTTGGATTATCAAAAATTTCTGCACGATCTATTTTCAATTAAAAAATTTTATTATATTTTATCTTATTAGAGGACCTCCAAAAGGTTACATCGAAGCTATAGAGACTCGATTGCATAGAATGGAATCCCTATTGGGTGGACTGGTTCATAGTAATGATCCTAGAGCTGAAGCTGTTTTGGCCGAATTAATGCATGATGACTTACGTTCTCAACATAAAGTTGGAAAATTTGATTTCACAAATCATCATAATATAATATCAGTCAATACTTCTAATGATGGTTCACAACTTGAAAGTACAAATAAATCTATTATTGATTCATCTAATCAAAATTCACCAGATAGTAGAAAAGGTAATCCGACAATGGATGATTTAAACGACGTTATGGGTATTCTTAGTATAGATGAAAACAATCAAGTTAGATATCATGGAAGGAGTAGTGGTTTTTATCTTTTAAAAAAAAGTGAAAAGTACAAGAATGGTATTTTATCAATCAAAAATCATTCAAACTGGAATCAACCCGGAGAAGTGATTGCTTCTACTCAGAATTTCGACTTGTTAAAACGACCGGAATTGACTGAATTACCTTCACAAGAAATATCCGATCATTTGTTGGAACTGTACTTCACTCATGTTCACCCGATATTACCTTTTGTTTACAAGCCACGCTTTTTTGATCAGCTAAAAAATAAAGATCACTTGCCTCATCTCTTGCTGAATGCGATTTACTCATTTGCTGCATTATTCTCGGATAGACTTGATATTCGAAAAGTTCCCGAGGATTATACAACTTCCGGTGAAATTTATTTTGATCGTGCAAAGGCATTGCTAGACAACGATTATGATAAAGCACGCATATCTACTATTCAGGCTTTGCTCATTTTATCATTAAGAGAATATGGTGTTGGTAAAATCACGAGAGCTTGGCTTTGGTCTGGTATGGCTGCTCGTATGGCTCAGGATTTAGGAATTCATCGTAATAATGAGAAATGGCATCCAATTAAATTGTCCCGTGAAGAACGTGAAGAACAGAAACGTGTATTTTGGGCTTGTTTCGTACTTGATAGGTAGTTTAGATTTGTTTAATTATTGATATTCATTTATATCAAAATGTTACTAACATTAAATCTAATAAAATTTGATTATTTTATATAGGATACCAAGTGCTCACTTAGGTCGACCATTAGCTATTGATGAAAAAGATGTTGATGCAGCACATCCTTCAGAGGAAGAAGATGATGAACATGAGTCACTTCCATTCAAAATGGAACATGTAACAGCTTCATCAACTTCATCGCCAATATCATCAAGTTGTAGTTTAATGGGATCACCGGCGTCATCAAATACTTCACATCAATCTGCTAAAGATCCAAGTTGTCAATCACATGCTGTCTCTCGGTTTAATCATTTACTGAAACTTTGTGAGATTATGGGTAGAGTATTACAAAATGTATATGCTATTAGAAGCACTCATGTTTCTATGACGACGGATACTGTACTTTCTATTTTGGATTCATCTCTTACTTCATGGTTCATATCTTTGCCTCCACATTTGCAATATAATCCTTCTTCAGATCACCCTTCAGATGCTCCTACACTTGTTCTTCATATTATTTATTATTCTGCTTTAATATTATTACATCAACCTTATTCGGTAGGACAACAATCATCATATAACATTAGCTCTCAAGCCGCGAATGCTATTACTGAGATAGCAGATACATTAATGAAACGTAATATATTGAGGCATTCTTTGAACGTTATTGTTTATTGTGTTTTCATATCGGGTGTTATTCACACATATAATGCCGCAATAGAAGATACTTCTGTTTCTCAACCAGCAAAAATGAATCTTGCTAAATCGATAAAAGTATTAAATGAGTTAAAAAAGTTTTGGCCAACAGCAAACAAATATGTAGACCTTTTACACGGATTAGTAGATTTAAAAGATGTACAACTGGATTCTACTCCAAGTTTGAAGAGTAACATAAGTACAGATGGAGCTCGTTTATCGAGAAAGCGTGTCAATTCTTCCAATAATATTCAATCTCCTCCATCTGTTGGAGTTGTTGATAGACATGTGAGGCAGGCTCGATATCGTGCACAACATAACCAACCTGCGCAACCTAATAATGAAAATAATACTTCTAAAGCATCACAGAATTTCAATACAGTTCCTTCTTCGTTAAATCCGTCTGCGGCCTACCAACGGTTGCCATCTGTATTAAGTTTTAATAATCATGCGTCTCTTACATCACAACCTACCCAATTTACTTCTCCACCATTTACTCAACAACAGCCTTCAAGGCAGCAGTTAAGACATGATTTACCCGAGTCAGCACAAATGTTTAATAATACGCTTGGATTTAGATACATGGCATCAAACGCGAATGAGCCACAAAGTCAACCAACAATTGGTGATACCGATCCTTATGCTGCTCCCGGTATGGCAACGAATAATAGCGTCGGAAATAGTGCATTTGAATCATTAAATACTGGATTTTGGGGTATCCCTCACAATGCAGATTTAGATGAATGGTCATCGTTTATTGGATCGCAACATTTACAATCACAATTTGCTTCTCCACCTACATTA